TTGGCTCAGGCCATGATCCCGAGTTCCTGGGATCAAGCCCTATGCGGGGACTCCCTGCTTGTCATGGGAATCTTCTCTCTCTAAAGTCTTTAAAAAAATGGTTCCAATAATGTCCTTTTTTAAAAATTGTGGTTAAAAAAAACAAGACCCACATAATATTTACCGTCTCAACCATTTTCCAAGCATACAGTTCAGTAGTGTTAAGCATATTGATGTTGTTGTGCCAATAATATATTTTATGGTAATTGTTTACCTCCATCCAAGACCACACATTACATTAGTTATCTTGTCTATTTTAGTTTCTTTTAATCTGGAGCAATTCCCCAGCTTTCCTTTGTTGATGACTTTTATAACATAGGTGTTTTTGAAAAGTGTAGGTCAACTGTAATTTTGCATTTGTCTATGTGCTTTTATGATAAAGGAGCTAGTATTGAAGGTATGATGAGGATAATAATAAATGGAAACACGAAAATGTCCATAGTATATTCCCCCCAGTGTTTGGTAGGAGGAGGGATCTGGAATCTATCCCTTCTGTTATAATGCCCTTGGGCAACACATCAGATCCTCAGGGGTGATAGAAACGTTCTGCATCTCACACCAACCTCAGCATCTCATCAATGTCAGTATCTCACTTTGCAAGATAAGATCTGTATATCGAGGGATCTCTCTGTATTACTTCTTACTACTGTACATGAATCTACAATTATCTCAAAATTAAAAATTTAATTTTTTTTTAATGCTTTTTGGCATTTCAGAGCATGAAGAGTCAACCTTTCTCTGGGGAAGAACTTGGCCCCTTGGTGAAATTCCCAGCGGGAATCCTTGTGCCTGAGAAAAGACTTCTTAATGAGCTCCTTTCACTTGCAGGGGAGGGGGAGGGGGCCCTCTTTTGCCCTCCACAGGGACATTTTAAAGTGAATGAAGGGAGCAAGGTCCCTCATTAAGGCTGAAATGGGAGCTGCTGGGGGCGGGGGTTCTCTAGAAAGGAGGCCTGGCCCCAGGTCTGCATTTCCTGCGACAAAGTTATCGCATTAACAATAATCACTGCTCCTTCCTTCATCCTAGAATGGACTGTGAAGGAAAACATTGGAAAGACCTTTTTACCTATTGTTTTCGTTAACTGACAAGTTCTTAATAAAATTGAAAAACTGTAAAGACCTAAATAGGCAACCATGGGAATTAGTTATGGGCATTATATTCTGGCTCAGTAGAATAGTATGCAGGGTCTTACAATCATGTTTGCATAGCGTTTATACTTGAAGCCAAGAATGGAGTTGTCTGAGATTTTGAGGTTTCTTTTAGAGGACTTGGGATTGCCCTCAAGGTTGAGGAGTGCTGGGTTGGAAGGAGGGTGGGTTGCTCTTAAGTGCCTCATCCAGGGAAATGAACCTGCCACCAGACCCCTATTCAGGGTGAAATGCTAATTTCTGGTTGTTGTCTGAGAGATCAGTCATGGTCCCTACCTAGGAAAGTTGGCTATTCTCTTGCTATTTAGAACCCAAATAGTCTGAACATAACATTCCTTGACACTCAAAAAGAAATAATCAGATGTGGGGAAAAATGTGTACAGGGATGCTTATTGCTATATTCTTTCTATAAGATTGAAAAACTGGAATAATAATAATAACAAGCATTTATTGAGCACTTACCATGGGCCAGTTGCTGGGCTAAGTGTTTTACGAGCATTGTCTCATTTCATCCTTTCAAGTAGGTTCCATTATTGCCTCAATTTTTACAAATGAAAAAGGAAATGGAGGCACAAAAAGCTTAGTAATTTGCCCAAGACAACACTATTAGTAAGTGAGGGAGACAGATGTGCTAATGACAGCAATAACACAATGTGATAAACATTAAAATAGAAATAATATGAGCAACAATAGGTAGATGGTGCAAAGTATTATCATTATACATGTTGTCTATTCGGGTCTTCAAATAAAGCCTGGCACATGGTGAGCATCTAAAAATGGTTGTTATTATTTATACTTCAAACTTAAATGTGCCCAGGAATCACCTGGAGATCTTGTTAAAATGCAGATCCTGAATCAACAGGTCTGGGTGGGTGGGTGCTACAAGTCTGCATTTCTAACAAATTCCCAGATGGTGTCCGTGTCCTTCAAGGACCACACTCTGTCTATCAGAGATTAAATAGGTTGGGGAAGGAGGAAAGCCCTGAATATGTAAAAACAAAACAAATCACAGAAACCCAAGGACCTGTGACATGGAAGAAAACTAGAAGGCAAGATAGTCACTGTGTTACTACAGTGTTGGACAGCAGCTTCTAGTGAATTTCTTTCTCTCTCTTTTCTGTAACATGGACTAATTCAATTCCACAAATATTTATTGTGTGCTTCAGCACTAGTCACTGTAGGAGCAGAAATGAAGGAAATCCACTGGTTTCCTCACGGAAGTTAAAAATAATTTAAAGAGGGGCGCGTGGGTGGCTCAATCTTTAAGCGTCTGCCTTCGGCTCAGGTCATGATCCCATGGTCCTGTGATCGAGCCCAGCGTCGGGCTCCCTGCTCCATGGGAAGCCTACTTCTCCCTCTCCCACTCCCCCTGCTTGTGTTCCCTCTCTCGCTGTGTCTCTCTCTGTCAAATAAATAAAATCTTAAAAAAAAAATAATTTAAAGAAACACATCAAAACCTCAATGAGATACCACCTCACACCAGTCAGAATGGCTAAAATTAAAGAGTCAGGAAAGGACAGATGTTGGCGAGGATGCGGAGAAAGGGGAAGCCTCCTGCACTGTTGGTGGGAATGCAAGCTGGCGCAGCCACTCTGGAAAACAGTATGGAGGTTCCTCAAAAAGTTGAAAATAGAGCTACCCTACAACCCAGGAATTGCTCTACTGGGTATTTACCCCAAAGATACAAATGTAGTGATCCAAAGGGGCACCTGCACCCCAATGTTTATAGCAGCAACGTCCACAATAGCCAAACTATGGAAAGAGCCTAGATGTCCATCAACAGATGAATGGATAAAGAAAATGTGGTGTATATATATACAATGGAATATTATGCAGCCATCGAAAAATGAAATCTTGCCATTTGCAACGAAGTGGATGGAACTATAGGGTATTATGCTGAGTGAAATAACTGAATCAGAGAAAGACAAGTATCATATGATTTCACTGATATGAGGAATTTGAGAAACAAGGCAGAGGATCATAGGGGAAGGGAGGGGAAAATGAAACAAGACAAAACCAGAGAGGGAGACAAACCATAAGAGACTCTTAATCTCAGGAAACAAACTGAGGGTTGCTGGAGTGGAGGGGGGTGGGAGGGATGGGGTGGCTGGGTGATGGACATTGGGGAGGGTATGTACTCTGGTGAGTGCTGTGAATTGTGTTAAGACTGATGAATCACAGACCTGTACCCCTGAAATAAATAATACATTATATGTTAATAAAAAAATAATTTAAAGAAACACACTTAAAAGGAGTGCATCTCATGGTATATGCTATACCTCAACAAAGTTGATTTAACACTTAAAGATATAAATAAATATAATGCCCCAGCAGGGATCTCTTTTAAAAGGTTGAAAATATTTTAAAATAAAAATTCCTGGATGGTGAGTCAGGGGGCCTAAGTTCAGTCACTGTCAGTAACTTGAAGGTTTACTCTCCTCCAGGTACCTTGGACTTGGAGAAGTGCCCTGTATACACTTTCAAAGCACTTTGTACTTCTTGACATCAGTTAATAATTTCACACGTGTGTTGTCTGCTATCCTGACTAAACCCCGACTTCTCCAGGGCCAAGCACTGCATCCGGCTGTCACTGTGGTGTCCTAGCACCTGTCATGGTATCCACTCTCCAGTAGACACTTGATTTATTACCTGTTGAATGAGTACATGAATGAAATAATCACTAAAGGGAAGGCGCATGGCCTCTAGGTCGAAGACATTTTGTTCATATCCTTCCAGGGGGATTTTTAGTGAAGGGTAGAGAAGAAAGCCTGGTAGGGAAAGCCAGCCAATCCTTTCCATAGGCCCCACCCCGTATTTCTAAGCATCCCCTCCCTACCCTCAAGGCTGTGTGTGGGGGTAGGTGAAGAAGTTCTTGGGCTTGGGGATCACGTCCTAGGTTCCAGGGAGCACCTCTCAGTTTTCTCATCTGTTCAGTGGGGATCAGGGTAATAGTTACCCCGGGCTGTGAGAGGTACTTGGGAAAAGACAGCATAGGGGTTAAAGTGTTTCAGGCTAAAGTGATCATCGCCTTCCTAATAATCTCCCTTCATGGACCTGAGCACCACCCTCCCTCCCACTATCACAGTCCTTGCACTTCTGGGGGTGAGTTTACTCCACTCCAGAGGTTCTCAAAGTGTGGTCCCTAAGAGCTTGTTGGAAATGCAAATTCTCAGGCTGTACCCTAGACCCTTCTGGATCAGATACTCTGGGGGTGGGGCCCAGCCATCCGCCTTACACCAAGCCCTCCAGAAGATGCTGATGCAAGCCCAAGTTTGAGTCCTTACTGCTCTGCTCTGATGTAAGCTCTCCTAAGGAGGGACACTGGGCCTGCGTTGTTCACTTCTCTATCCCCCTGGCCTGGCATAGGAGGCGTGCAACAAGAAATCTGCTGAATGGATCACACCTCTGTTAACAGCAGCTAGCCACTGATTGAAGACCTTCTGTGTGTCAGGCTAATCTTCTAAACATTTTAGGAGGATTACCTCAGTTAAGCAGCCATCCCTAGGTTCATTTTACAGAGAGTGAAGCTGGGGCGCAGGCAGGCCAAGCTCTGTGTTGTGGGGTCACCCAGAAGGAGATCCGCTAGGAAATCCCACGTTTGGCAGCTTGGCTCCTTGGGGCTCTCCAGGGGTCGCAGCGGCGCGCGGCTCTGTAGCGCTGCCAGCGCGCCCCGCCCCGCCCCGCCCCGCCCCGCCCCGCCCCCGGGGCCCGCGCGTGTCCGCGGCTCCGCGAGGGCGCCCCGCCCCGGGGCCGGCTGGGGGAGGAGCGCGGCGGCGGCGGCGGCGGCTGTGGCGAAAGTGCGGCTGCGGAAGCGCGGCGAGGCGGGCGGCGGCAAGGGAGGAAGCTGGGAGGCGGCGGGCCCTGCGGAGCCGGGCGGACGCCATGGGCCGGCTGCACTGCACGCAGGACCCCGTGCCCGAGGCCGTGGGCGGCGACATGCAGCAGCTGAACCAGCTGGGCGCGCAGGTGGGCCGGGCGGCCGGGGCGCGGGCCAGCGTGGGTCCCGAGGGCTGAGAGAGGGGAGGGGTGTGGGCCGAGGGCCGCCTGGGGGTGAGGAGAGTGGGAGGGACTAGGCACAGGGGCTTCTGGTGTGCGGTGTGGCGATAGGGAGATTCGGGGACGGGCTAAGGGGAATCGGGGATCTCAGGCGAGTTTGGGCGGCCGGGGGATCTCAAGAGGCCTACGGCGCAAGCTGAGGGGTTCGGGAGAAGGGAGTGTGGGGACACAGGTGGGCGGGAGTCCTGGGAACGAGGAGAATTTGTGGGGGTCTTAGAGGAACTGGGGGACGTCTCCATAAGGCTGAAGGGAGTTTGGGGAACTGAGGTAATGGGGTTCGGCGAGCTGTGGAATTTGGTGGGCCAGGGAGGGACTGAGATGCTCAGTAGAGAGGCCAGTGGGGGAAACTGAGGGGGGTCTTGGCATCCGGCGGGGTCCGGGGGAAGGGGGAGCCTGGGGGGGGGCAGGTAATCCGCGGTCACATACGGGTTTGGGTAATGGCCAGGCCAGGTGGGGACCGTAGGGGCTGAGACCAGGGCTGAGACCCCCTAACCCCCAGTTAAGGGGAATATCTGGTAGTCCTCAAAGAAACCCGCGCCCCCCCACACACACACCCCCTGGTAGTAGAGGAGCTGGCAGAGCTGTTTTTTGCTTGTTCAGGCCGCAAATGCCAGCCAGCCAGCTTCCGGCTCCTGTCCTGGTTGGGCTGCCCTTTTCAAAGCACCAAGGCAGCCAAGATAAATGGGTTCAAATGACACCTCTCGTCACCATTGTAAAGGTGCAGCTGTTTCCCCCACTGGGTTGTAACTTCTCAGGAGGTGGGGTCCCTCTGCTTTATCTCAGCGCCCCCCCCCCCCCCGGCAACTTACTGTTTTCTCATAAAGTAACACAAACTATAATGCCAGACATGACTCTGAAACCCCTTTGTCCAACAGAAATAAATAAATTGCAAGCCACAAGTCTAACTTTACATTTTCTGGTAGTCACATATAAAAATTAAAAAGAGAGGCGCTTGGCTGCGACTCTTGATTTCAGGGTTGTGAGTTCAAGCCCCATATTGGGTGTAGAGATTACTTGAAAATAACATCATTAAAAAGTAAATAAATAGGGCGCCTGGGTGGCTCATTCAGTTAAGCGTCTGCCTTTGGCTCAGGTCATGATCTTGGGGTCCTGGGATTGAGTCCTGGGTTGGGCTCCCTGGCAGGGGAGTCTGCTTCTCCCTTTTCCTCCCCCCCTTGCTTGTGTTCCCCTTCTTGCTGTCTCTCTCTCTCTCTCTGTCAAAGAAATAAATAAATAAAATCTTTAAATAAGTAAATAAATAAAGGGGTGCCTGGGTGGCTCAGTTGGTTGAGCGTCTACCTTTGACTCAGGTTGTGATCTCAGGGTCCTGGGATTGAGCCCTCTTTTGTCAGGCTCCCTGCTCAACAGGGAGTCTCCTTCTCCCTTTGCCTCTCCCCCCTCCCCCACACCACTCGTGCTCTCTCTAATAAATAAAAATCTTTTCTCTCTAATAAAAGTGAAACAAAATATGTTTTCTTTAATCCACTATACTATCATTTCAACGTGTAATCCATATGAAAATATCAATGAGATATTTTACTTTTTGATACTAATTTTTCAGGTTCTGCTGTGCACTTTACATTTATAGTACATCTCAGTTAGACTAGCCTTTTTCAAGTGTTTAATAGCCACATGTGGCTAGTAGCCACTGTTTGTTTATCATACAGCAATTCTAAGTGCTCTTACGTATATTATTAAGCCTTTGAGTCCTTAGAACCACCCTAGGAGGTAGGTACTATTATTATCCCCATTTTACAGATTAAGGAAACTGAATCACAGAGCAGTTAAACAAAAATAGCTGTCATTTATTGAGCATGTACCATGTGGCAGGCATTGTTTTCCAGTGCTTTATGTGTAGCACCTCTAAAAAGGTAGGTGCTGTTATTATTCCCACTTTATAGATAAGAAAAATGGTTCCGGGAAAGAAATTGACCTGTTTAAGGTCAGGCAGCCAGGAAGTGGTGGAGCCAGGAATTCAGGACCAGATGCTTGACTTTAGATTCTGGGGAATGAAACAGAACAGAGTTTTATAGGTGATCTCCCCAACTAGGTAGCTTAGCTTTCACTTGTTTATATGGCAGGGTTTTCTCAAAGATTTCCATTTGGAGAATAAAAAAACATTCTGCTGCTAAAAAACTTTGAGGCTGCAGGATGATAGGATCCCTAAGGTTATCTCCAACTTGGTATTTATGGAAAAAAAACATAAACCACATTCTTTAAAATCAGAGCTTGCCCTCATATTCTAACTTTAAAACGTACTCTGGGGGCGCCTGGGTGGCTCAGTAGGTTGGGCGTCTGACTCTTGATCTCAGCTCAGGTCTTCATCTCAGGATCACGAGTTAGGCCTGTATTGGGCTCCACATTGGGCGTGGAGCCTATTTAAAAGCAAAACAAACAACCCACTCTGGGTCTTTACCTGTTGTTTGTTTTTTTGTTTGTTTGTTTTTAGTAGTCTCTACACTCAGTGTGTGGGGGCTCAGACTCATAATCCTGATATCGGGAGTTGCATCCTCTTAAGACTGAGCCAGTCAGGTGCCCCTTTACCTTTGTTTTTTTTTTTTTTTTTTTTTAACACAGAAAGCTTTTTCCTAATGAGCGATTTACCAGAATCCTTTCCCTGCCTTTTGTTGAATGATCAGATTTTTCCAAGTACCCACTCTGTTAGCTGAATTTATTTTGAAGTCTGAGGCCTAGGCATCAAGGAGAAAAAGAATCAGTGTATCAGTGTGGGCATCAACATTTATTGCTCATTGCTCGCTTCGGCAGCACATATACTAAAATCAACATTTATTGCTCACTCAGTGGGTATTTTTCTGAATGCCTACTGTACACCAAATAGCCACTAAACCCAGTGAGGTTTGCAAAGGCATGATGGACACAGCCTCTTACGATGGGGAAGTTGTGATCTGCTAGGGCAGGTCAGAAAACAGATCCAGCACAGTCCTAAGTGCATCTAGATGTGTTCTCTGATGCCTGTGGCCAGTCCTAGGTAATGTGCATCTTTGAGAATAGGATTAAAAAAATAATGATTTTTAGAATGGTTATGAGAGAGGAAATTCAGAAAAATATAAAGAAAACAAATGGTCTACGGTCTTCTCACCTAGCTGTAAATGAAAGCAACACATACAGTTAGAAAATTCATATAGTATTCAAAGGTCTAAGTTTTTTTAAAGATTTTATTTATTTATTTGAGATAGAGCACAAGCCTGGGGGTGGAGGGAGAGGGACAAGCAGGTTCCCCAATGAGCAAGGAGCATGAAGTGGGGCTGGATCCCAGGACCCTGGGATCATGACCTGAGCCAAAGGCAGATGTTTAACCAACTGAGCCACCCAGGCGCCCCCAAAGGTATAAAATTAAAATATCTATTTCTCTTGTCTGCAGAAACTGTCATTTTAATAGTTTCTTGTGTATCTTTGTAGAAAAAAAAGTCTGCATCTGCCTGTATATATATGGGTATCCGTTAAAATCTTTTTTTATACAAAAGGGATTGCATGATATTCCTTGAAATGGTTCTACCATAATTTATTTAACCTGCTCTATATTAATAGACACTTAAGTTGCTTTCAGTTTTTTGTTTTTATGAACAATGCTGTCAATGAATTGCTTTGTGTAAATGTGTCTGGGTTTACTTTTTGGAACATATCTGAAGGATATACTTCCTGCAGTGGAATTACTAAGTCAAGAGATACAAAAAAATTAGATACAGCTATCAAATTGCCCTCTGGAAAGGTTGTCCTGGTTTTATCCTCTCATCAACAGTGCAAGCATATCTGTTTCCTGGTACTTTCACCAGCACTGGTGTTATCAAACTTTTATTTTTGAAGATCTGATAAGTTAAAAAGTGGTACTTCCTTATTTTACTGATTTGCATTTCTCATCTGGAATGATCTTGAACATCTTTCCATACATTTACTGGTGAGAATAGTTAAGATTTGATTTCATGGTTGGTGATGAACAGATGAACATTCCAGAAGGAGACAGCTATGCAGATATAAAGGCAAAGAATGGGGAAGGTGTTTAGGGAAGATTTATTCAACAAATACTTAACTGTGCACTTGTAATAACTACGACTCTGACCATTTGAAGGAACCTTCTCTGCTAAGACAAGTCTGTGTTTCTTATCAAGATTTAAAACTCTAAGTGCCCTCAGGCAAGGTTCCAGGAGGGAGCCTCAGAAGTTAAGAATCTGGGTAGGTCACTTTCTTATTGGGAGGGTCATGGTGTCTTGGCAGCAGGGCATTGAAGGATAAAGAAGGCTTTGGGGAAAAGAGGAGATAGGGATGGGGCTTAGTGTGTCCTGCAGACCAGATTAGTTTGAGGCCTCACAGGGAGGTTGAACCTGAATGCTAGGCTCCGGCCTGGAAATGGAAAAGCCACTGGAGGGCTTCTCAGCTGCTCCATTTCTTAAAAGGCCCAGGGTGACGTAGGAAATACAGTTAGCGAAAGATCTGACAGTCCACAGATTGCAGGGGGAAATAAGGAAAACTCGTAGTCTGAGGACAGTCTGAAACTAGTCCCTGACTTTTCTTGTTTTTACTATATAGAATCAGTAGTTATGCAAGGCTAATACCAATTACCATTATTACTGCAGAAAGACAACCCCTGGATCAGGCTTGATTAAAATGTTTCCAGGGAATATCCACGAAGTTTTGAGAAAGTAGAAACCTCTGTGCTATTGGCAGGTGGGAGTATAAATCCATGCAACTTCTTTGCAAGACAGTTTGGCAGCATTTTCTCAGATTTTAAAATGCGTATATCATTTGACCTAAGATACATTTTAAAAATATTTTATAGACACATATGTCACAAAGAGATATGTGGGAGGATATTCATCGCAGTATTATTTAGAATAACAAAGCAGGCACACACCTGCTAAGTATATACAGTTGAGTGCTGTGCACTTGTTTAAAGAATTGGGTAGAGGGGTGCCTGGCTGGCTCGGTTGGAGGAGTGTGCTACTCTTGATCTCGGGTTGTCAGTTCAAACCCCAAGTTGGGTGTAGAGATTACTTTAAAAAAATAAAATCTTTTTAAAAAACTGGGTAGAGGGATGTCTGGGTGGCTCAGTCAGTTAAGCGCCTACCTTGGGCCCGGGTCATGATCCCGGGGTCCTGGGACTGAGCCCGGAGTCAAGCTCCCTGCTCAGTGGGGAGCCTGCTTCTCCCTCTGCCTGCCTCTCCCCCTGCTTCTGCTCTCTCTCTCTCTCTCTCTGACAAATAAATCTTTAAAAAAAAGACTGGTAGAATTATATCTACTGACAAGATGAATCTCTAAGATATAATTGGATGAAAAAAAGCAAGGTGCAGGGTGTAGGTTCACTATCATCTCCTTTGTATTTTTTTTTAAAGATTTTATTTATTCATTTGACAGACACAGCGAGAGAGGGAACACAAGCAGGGGGAGTGGGAGAGGGAGAAGCAGGCTTCCCACAGAGCAGGGAGCCCGATGCGGGGCTCGATCCCAGGACACTGGGATCAGGACCTGAGCAGAAGGCAGTTGCTTAACGACTGAGCCACCCAGGCGCCCCATCATCTCCTTTGTATTTAAAAGAAATTAAATTCAAATGCAATTCTGGGAAGGCCACAAAGGTGTTAGCAGTAACCACCTGTGGGCAGTGGGATTGAAATGGGGGGGGCAGGGAGAGTCATTTAATTTTATTACTAAAAAAAATGAAAACAAACTTTTAAAAATAAAATCTTAAAAAAATAAAGAATAAGAGGAGCACCTGGGTGGGTGGCTCAGTTGTTAAGCGTCTGCCTTCTGCTGGATTCCTGATCTCAGGTCGGGCTCCCTGCTGGGTGGGGAACCTGCTTCTCCCTCTCCCACTCCCCTGCTTGTATTCCTTCTCTCGCTCTCTGTCAAATAAATAAATAAAATCTTTAAAAAAAGAAAGAATAAGAGACTGTTCTAGGACAGTAGATAATATAAAGTGTAAACTTTACTGTTTTGTCATATAATGTTTATTGTGGGGAAGAAACCCAGAAAATATGGATAGACAGGAGAAAATAAAAATCACCCAATCCCACTACACAGAAATAACTGCTTTGAAAGACAAGGTAGAGAAAAAATTTGCATAGTATGTTAACATTTGTGTGGTGCGGAAAAAGAAGAAATCATATTATTTGGATTGGCTTATGTTTGAATAATAAATATGTGGAAATATAAACAAAAAGAAAAAAGCAACTACTATTAATCTTCCAGTGATCTCCCTCTCAGGTCATGTGTGCGTGTGTGTGTGTATTTGGACCCTTGAGATATGTATACGCATGTGTGTGCGTACATTCACAGTCTCAATATGTATCTCCCAAGTGTTCCAATAAAATATACGAGTTTTTCAGACAATACAGTAGTACTGATATAGTGACACTGGGTAGTGGGTGTTGTAAATATTTGAACTTTAAGATGATCAAACAGGTATCAACACCTGTGTGTTCTCTCTTAAGGGTCTGTAGTTGGATGGGGTGGGGGAACACTGACACAGGAGTAGAATGTTACTGATGTTCTGTGTTATTCTCTTCACAGCAGTTCTCGGCCTTGACAGAAGTGCTCTTCCACTTCCTAACTGAGCCAAAAGAGGTAAAGTACCTTGTGATAAGGAGAGTTCCCGAGTGTGGGTCTACAGCCCTGAGATGCTAAGCAAGTGAAGGCCTGGTTTGTCCCCTTTCTGCAGGTGGAAAGGTTTCTGGCTCAGCTCTCTGAGTTTGCCACCACCAATCAGATCAGTCTTGGCCCTCTCAGAAGCATCGTGAAAAGCCTCCTTCTGGTTCCAAATGGTGAGTAGCCTCTCTTAGCAGCCGAGGCCGGAGATGTTACTTGAATTCTTTCAGTCCACAGAGTCGGCAAGCTGCTCTGGGCACGGAGCCAGCGCATTCAGTAGAGAGCCAGACGTGGGCAGGACTCGAAGTCTAGGGAGGGAAGCCAGGTACACAGACAACTGCAGGAAAATGTAATAGAGTATAGCTCAAAGTGCAATCTGCATCCCAGCTTCTATCCCCAAACTGCTATCTGGTCCTCTGCACAGTAAGTCCAGAAATTGAGAATAAGCATTTAGAAGCTTTTATAGCAATTTGGTAAAAATTTTTGAAACCGCTGTTTTTTTTTTTTAAATGGGGCTTGTATTTTTTTTAAGATTTTATTTTTAAGTAATCTCTACACCCAGTATAGGGCTCAAACTCAACCCCAAAATCAGGAGTTGCACGTTCTACCAACTGAGCCAGCCAGGCACCCTAGGGGCTTGTATTTTTTTTTTAATTTAATGTGGTAAAATATACATAATGTAAAATTTACCATTTTAACTAGTTGGGGCTTATATTTTGTATGTTTTTTTTTAATTTTCATTGTACTTTACAAAAATACTAGTCCACGATGGATTGAAAATAAAAAAGGTCTTTCACTGCAGATGGTTTCAGAAGTAATATGCCTAAGCAATCAGGAAAAGTTTCTAGCCAGGAAGGAGGGGATCACAAAGGTTTAGCTGTAGGGATATCCATCATAGCACTGTTTTGATGATACAGAAAAATTAGAAACAAATTGCCCAGCAGTTAGAGATTAGTATAATGCGCTGTGGTCTGTTTTTACAGGGGAACATTGTGGTGGTCAAAAATTCATGGTCCTGAGTTAGGTAGATGTGGGTCTGTCACTTGCTGAGTAGTGTCACTTTGTCCAGGTACCCGATCTCTCCCAAGCCTTAGCAACAACCCCTCTCTAACATTGTTCTGCCAATCAGCTTTTTCTTGGTATGTGAATGGGGCTTGTTTTGAAGATTGAGATAATGTAAATGATATGTATAACGTAGTACCTCAGTAAGAGGTTGCTCTTATTTTTCAAATTCTGTAATAATTTAAAAAGATGCTGTTGAGAAAAATGTAATGATATGGAAAATCGTTCACAATATACTGTTTAATAAAAATAATAGTTTATTATACCACAGTCCTATTTTTGTAAAGAAAAAAATGTTAACTGTGGCTATATCTGGGTGGAAGGACTACAGGCTGTCTTAATTGTTTATTTTTGACTGTATATTATCTGAAGAGATGCTTGATTTGGCAATTTAATCACAAGTTAATTTTATGTAAAGAGAAAGGCGACATTTGAGGCCAGTCTCAAAGAATGAATCAATGTTGACCAGACTGAGAGGAGGTAAAACAGCATCCCTGGTTTGCACATTTTACAAATTGGCAGTGGACTGATCTTTCCAAGCTCTCAGCCCAGTGGTGCACTGAAAGCTGGGGGCTTCATTTGTTTGTTCCTGTTGGGCGCCTTCCCATATCTTAGTGCAGGTCCTTTCCTTTGCCTGTTCTTTGCTCCTGAGGTTCTGGGGGCTTGAATCAGAACATCCTGAGGTTTCCAACTGTGAAATTTTCTCATCCTCTGTATGATTCTTGTATTTGTTGCCCTTGTGGTGGGTTAAAGGCATGTGAACCAAAGGCTGGATGAGAATGTGCAGTCTTTTGTAACATGGGAATAAATTTTCTTTTTCTTTTTCTTTTTAAAGATTTTATTTATTTATTTGAGAGAGAGAGAATGAGAGATAGAGAGCACGAGAGGGAAGAGGGTCAGAGGGAGAAGCAGACTCCCCGCTGAGCAGGGAGCCCGATGCGGGACTCGATCCCAGGACTCCAGGATCATGACCTGAGCCGAAGGCAGTCGCTTAACCAACTGAGCCACCCAGGCACCCGGGAATAAATTTTCATTGCAAACCTACAACAGTGCAGAGTCAGAAGTGAAAAATCCCCTTCTGCTCTCCTGCTACTTGTCTCCAGACACCATCGCATTTGGTGTATATCCTTTTATATTTTCACGTCCACTGGCAGACACGCACATAGACATTCATGTAGTTTTGTTTTTCATGACTGGTAGTAAACCATAAAAGTGCTCTTGCATGGGGCCTCTGGGTGGCTCAATCGTTAAGTGTCTGTCTGCCTTCGGCTTAGGTCATGATCCCAGGGTCCTGGGATCGAGCCCTGCATTGAGCATCGGGCTCCCTGCTCAGCGGGAAGCCTGTTTCTCCCTCTCCCACTCCCCCTGCTTGTGTTCCCTCTCTCCCTGTGTCTCTCTTGGTCAAATAAATAAAGTCTTTAAAAAAAAAAAGTGTTCTTGCAGCTTGTATTTTTTCCTGCGTGGTACGTCATGGAGATTTCTCCATGTCGACTTCATTCTTCTGAGGGCTGTAATGTGCCATGTGCTGGGTGTCTCTTCAGCTAGTCGGGGGGTTCCTGTTGCTGCACATCTTTGTAACCTTTCACTCTTAGAAACAGTGCCACAGCAAATGGCCTCAGGACATTGTACACTCTCCGGTGTGAGCGTTTCTGTAGGGTAGGGGCCCGGGGTGCAGTGCCAGAGTTGTCTTTCTCATTCTGGCCTACACCTGTGGGGATGGGTTTGTCTCTGGGTAGAGACCTGTCTACCTGACAGCTGTTGTGGACACTGATTTTTCAGGAGACTTCGGTCTTCTGGTGTCCCTGCCTCCCTTCTTTCCAGTCTTCGTTAGCTCTTCTTCCCACCCCCTCAAATCCTGTCAGACTGCCTTCAGTCCTCCTCAGCCCGGGAACTTGCGCCCCTGTGCTGCCTCAGAAAGCCTTCCTAAACCACTTCAATCCGCAGTGCCCTCCCTTCCTCTCAGCTCCCGAGAGATGGTTTTTATCTATAGTTATCATTCTGGACCATAATCGTTTACAGTTTTCTATTGCTCATGCTGTTTTACATGTGTCTATTTTGTGGCTTTGACAGAGAGCTTGTTCTTTGAAGCCAGGGGAGGATCTTGTACTTCTTTCCTGAGCCAAGGTTATAAGTAAAGTGATGACATAAAGCAGATGCTTAGTACATGCTGCATGAGTTAAACTGAACTTGGGAGATCCTGTGACCCTCCCAGGGGATGTTGGGTGTATATTTTTTAGGCAAGATTGATTGTCATTGTTTATAGCAGATCATTTTCTATAGGTGCAGAGAACCCTGAGGAACTCATAGCATACCATTCAAGAGGTGGGCTTGACAGGCTCATGTGGATTTGAGTGTTAGTCACATCACCTATATAGCTATTCAGCCTTGGTCAAATCAGCCTCAGTTTCTTACATGAAAAACAGTAATAAGAGCAGTATGGTTGTGCATTAGGAATGAATGAGTTAATATAGGCAAAGTAATTAATACAGTGTTGGCTAAACTTCAGCTTTATGTATTGATAGTTCAGTTAGCTTCAGTCCTATGCCTTCTCTCGATTATGAGACTAAGCGTCTGAGGGTGTAGCTTATAAGTCACTTGTCTCTTCCTCAGTCCAGAACAAGTTCTTAGTCCTTCCTGCCTTATTGTTGAGCAGTAACATCTCCACCTCTGCTCTTCTATCCCTGGTTCCAACCTGGCCTGGAGGACACTCCTGCAGCACAGCTGGGATCATGTTGCACCTCACAACCATTGACTTCTCATGGTGAGGTCTGTAATCCTCAGCGTGGCATTGAAGGCTTTTTCCTAATCTCATCTGAAATGTAAGGGCCTCCAGGTCCTCACCCTCTTCCTCGTCCCTCATCCTGGGCCTGCCTTGCAGTAAGGCCTCCTCATAGAAGTACAACTTGTTAGAGCTGGGGGAGCCGCCACCCTCCAGATCAGTTGTCCCCAAATTGGTGTTTTCATCCAGAAAAGGCTTGTGTGGTCAGCCAGAAGCAGGAGATACTGTCCCCTCCCACTCCCCCAGCCTTGGAATCTTGGAGAGACATACATATTAACGTATCTCAGGCTCTGAAAGGTCCCGCAATAAAGAAACCTGCTTATCCAGTATCTGAGAAACAGTTAACCATGAAACCTGTCTTCTTCTCCTCCTACTCTTCTTGCAGGGAGCGGGTCAGGTAAAAGCTTTTTGTGGGGTGCCTGGGTGGCTCAGTCATTAAGCGTCTGCCTTCGGCTCAGGTCGTGATCCCAGGATCCTGGGATCAAGCCCCATGTCGGGCTCCCTGCTCCAAGGGAAGCCTGCTTCTCCCTCTCCTCCCCCTGCTTGTGTTCCCTTTCTCGCTGTGTCTCTCTCTGTCAAATAAATAATAAAATCTTTTAAAAAAAAAGTTTTTTGTAAGTGCTGATCTAGTCTAATCTTTCTCTTACAGATAAAGAGAGCCTTAGAGAAGGGAAGTGACTTGCTTAGGATCTTACAGAGGAAGAGCTGGGGCCAGTATCTCCCATGGTTGGCATAAAGCCCAGTGGCTTTTGTTTTTGTTTTTTAATGTTTTTCTTTTACTACTTAGTATGTCATTCTTAAAAACACCTGACTTCAGTAGTTATCAGCCCATAGCCAGATTGTTTCATCCATACCCCTCCCACTTCTCACTGCTGTCCAAACTGGATTATTTTAAAGCATATCTCAGAGGTCATATCATTTCATTTCTGAATACCTAGTCATTATCTCTAAAAGATAAAGGCCCCTTTTCCCCCTTATCAAACCACAATGCCATTATCATATCTGAAATTAAAATATGCAGTCAGTGTTCAGATGTCCTCATTGTCTCATGTATTTTGTTTGTTTGTAGTTGGTTCCTCTCATCAGGATCCAGGGAGGGTCCGCACATGGCATTTGGTTGCTGGATGGCCCTTGTGTGCTTACTTGTCACCATGGCTACTTAACAGCTTTGAGATCTTCAGCCAAGTTATTGAACCTCTCTGAGAATCAGTGTCCTCAGAAAACAGAGCTTATAATAGGAGTTCATACATCATTATAAGAATAGAGAAAGATACTAAATGTGAAATACTTCAGTGAGTGGCAGTGCACTGCTTGTCTTTTAGACACAGGTGACTCCTGGATTACAGATAACTTGGCTGTAGGGCTACTGTTTAAGCCTGGTTTTATTTTATTTATTTATTTTTATTTGTTTATTTTTTTAAGATTTTATTTATTTATTTGAGAGAGAGAGAATGAGACATAGAGAGCACGAGAGGGGGGAGGGTCAGAGGGAGAAGCAGACTCCCCGCTGAGCAGGGAGCCCGATGCGGGACTCGATTCCGGGACTCCAGGATCATGACCTGAGCCGAAGGCAGTCGCTTAACCAACTGAGCCACCCAGGCGCCCAAGCCTGGTTTTATTTTAATACTTAGCAAGATTGTTTTTTAAGAAAAGGTGATAACTCCCCTTTTCTTAAAAAACTCCCCTTCTCCTCTCCCAAAGGAGTTCTTTGTGGCTGGGCAAAAACAGAGTAATCAGCATTGAACAGTAGTCACAAATGGTATTTCTTCTTTTTTTTTTTTTTTAAGATTTTATTATTTGACAGAGACAGCGAGAGCAGGAACACAAGCAGGGGAGTGGGAGAGGGAGAAGCAGGCTTCCTGCTGAGCATGGAGCCCGATGTGGGGCTTGATCCCAGGACCCTGGGATCATGACCTGAGCCAAAGGCAGATGCTTAACGTCTGAGCCACCCAGGCGCCCCTCACACATGATTTTTAATCAACCTTTGAGCTAAGTTCCCCCAGGACTCCCAGCCTCCCCCTGCTGTATTTATTACTTTTCTCTGTGGCACTTTTTCAGTCATACTCTGTATGGCTTCCTTACTTGTTACATTATTGCTGTGGTCTTCTGCTTCTCAATAGAACGTAAGCCTCATGAGGGCAGACATTGTCTGTGTGGTTCATTGATGTTTCCCAGCAGCTAGCATAGTGCTGGCACCGAGCAGGTCCTCAGTAAATGCATGTACAGTGACTATGACTTCTGTCTTTCCATGAGCCTCAGAGAAGTGGATTCAGCTGGTCATCCTTCAGGGTCAGTAATCACTAACTGAATGTGCCTTGCTCTCTACCATCTGCTTCCTTCTCCTGGAGTTTTAACCAATGCTTAGTTCTGTTCCTTGGGCTTCCCTTATTACACTGAATAAGTTTATATAGATTTTTGACTAGAAGAACAATACACTAGTTTTCCAACTGTTCCCTGGCAAAAGTAGAACCCTCACCCTGGACATAAACCTTTGTCTTGTCCCCCATAGTGTTTGATGGCAATAAGGGTTTGCCTAAGGCACCTGTTCGGTGAAAATTGGTGCTCAAGGACTTTATAAACCATCTCAGTTGGTTATCTGTGTTTAAAGAAGGACATTCTCAAATTTCCCTAAGTGGCATGTTCTGGGGACTCCAGCCCCGGACTTAAAATTTTCTGTCTGTCTGACATAGAGTCAAGGCTTCAGGCCTGTCATGTGCTTAGGACAAAGGAATCACCAAAGGAGAAAGCTGAAAAAGAAGTTAAGAGCTATAATCAACAATACTGTATTATAAACTTCGAAACTGCTAAGAGCTTAAGATCTTTTTAAAGATTTTATTTATTTATTTGAGAGAGAGTGAGAGAGAGCATGAACTGGGGGAGAGGCAGATGGAGAGGGAGAGGCAGACTCCCCACCAAGCAGGAGCCCGATGCAGGGCTCAATGCGGGGCTTGATCCCAGGACCCTGGGATCATGACCTGAGCCAAAGGCAGACACTTAACAGACTGATCCACGCAGGTGTCCCAGTAAGAGCTTAGATCTTAAAGGTTCTGGGGGTGCCTGGGTGGCTCAGTCGGTTAAGCGTCTACCTTCGGCTCAGGTCATGAACTCAGGGTCCTGGGGTAGAGCCCCAAGTAGGGCTCCCTGCTCAGTGGAAAGTCTGCTTCTCCCTCTCCCTCTGCCTCTTCTTCCTGCTTATGCTCTGTCTCTGTCTCTCTCTCAAATAAAAATAAATAAAAATCTTTAAAAAAAAATCTTAAAGGTTCTCACCACAGAAAGGAAATGATAATTATGTGATGTGATAGAGGTATTAGCTAATGCTGTAGTGGCAGTCACATTGCCATATATAAATGTATCAGATCGACAGGTTGTACACCTTAAACTTACACAATGTTATATGTCAATTGTATCTCTCCCTTTTTTTTTAGGATTTGCTTATTAGAGAGAGAGCCTGCACGCTGGATTGGGGGAGGTGGAGGGGAGGGGCAGAGGAAGAGAGAGAAGCCTGAGGCAGACTCCCCACTGAGTGCGGAGTCAGTTGTATCTTGATTAATTAATAAAAAGAAAGATTAATTAATCAAGGGCTTGAAGCCTAGCATGATATAAATATATTTTTTAAAGTATGGCTTGGGACACAACAATGAACAAAACAGACCAAGTCCTTTTTCTCATCAAACTGATATTCTAGTGGAAAAACCAACAATAAATGTGTCACGTGACGTTGGGTGGTTAAGAATGCATCACAGAAAAGTACAGCAGTAGAAGGGTACCAGTGAAGAGCAGCTCCCCTTGAAATAGAGTAGCCAGGGGTCCTCTTGGAGGTGAGATTCAAGGAGAAGCTGGAATGACATGAGGGAAGGGACCCGTGCAGATTTGGGAAAGAGCGTCCCCAGCAGAGGGAATTGCAAGGGCAAATGCCAGGAGGTAGGAACCTGCCCGGCATATTATAGGAAAAGCTGAGGAAGCGAGGGAGAGAAGAGCTTACGGGTTCTAGAGGCGGCCAGTTCCTGCAGGGCGTTGTAAGAGCTCTGGATTTTATTCTGAGTGAAACTGGAGCTATTAGAGGGTTTTGAGCAGGGCAGAGACATTGTCTGACTGACTCAAGTTTTAACAAAATCTCCGTGGTGCCCAGGCTGCTGTGTGGATGCACCAAGACCAGGGCACTGTTCCTGATATTTTATCTTTGCTCCTGACATTGCTAAAGAGCTTCACACGTATATTTCAGTGTGCTCTTGGGAGCATATCTGTTGGGGGACTTCTTGACAGTGCAGTTGTTGACTATGTAGCTTTGCCAAATTTTCTTCCCAAAAGCTTAATCTTTCTGATCTTTAGTTTCCTGGTAAATTAAAGGTTTTAGTAGTAATCCCCACTTCAGAATACTTTGGGATCATCAAGCAAAATACTGGATTTGAGCTAGATATACACTAAGGAGCTGTGCATGTGGTAGTTACGAATTAATTGAATTGGCTAGGAAGTGGCCGTCTTGGAGGGCCTTTATGGCCAAGGTTCCCTGGTGTCTTGCCTTTTTTATTTCCCTATGGCTTCCTTGCTCAGTCTGATTTTGGCGATAAAAGATTTCCTCCCTTTGTTTACATGGTTTATTTTGCAGGGGACAAACAGCCTCTAGGATTGTTTTTCAGGAGTGAGCTGGGGGTGGGGAGTTGGGCTTAGGGTATTACTCCAGGGCCCTCTCTGGATGGTGGTGGATGTCCCCTTATAATTAGTCATCTTCTGGAAGACTAAGAAGTGGAAAATTTTAAAGCGGTTGCCAAATTGTGACTCTAGGCTGTAGCCGGAGGTTAAACATTGAGAAGCCCAGATTGCTGGCAACACTTTGTTTTCAGGAATTGGACCTCGCAAGCAGAACAAAGCAGCCCCCACAGGGGAGTGCTCTCAGGGCTTGTGAGGGGAAGCTTTGCCTGGCCCCTTTGGAATCGACTTGTGGATTGTAGAGGCCAACTGTTAGTCCATCCTTGTTTACCTCCAGAAAGCTGATTTTCTATGGCAGCTCTGTCCAATAGAACTATCTAAATAGATGGAAATGGTCTCTGATCTATACTGTCCAGTACCATGGCCACCAGACCCATGTGGCCATTGAGGACTTAAAAGAGTGCAACTGAGGGACAGAGTTTTAAATTTTGTTTAATTTTAATTAAAATGTAAGGGGGTGCTAGGAGAAAAATAAAATTTAAATAACCCCACATCTTTAGTGGGTCTGTATTGCACAGTGCAGCTCTAGGCTGTTGCCCTTACACCCAGCCTGACATTGAGCTCCCCGACTTGGCCCCAGGAATCCGTGGCCTTATTCTTTCCTCACATCGGGTACCCCCAGGCCCAAGTCCCTAAAGTCATTCTTGTTCTCTAACTTTTTTCATAGTTTCTAGAGGGGTAAACGCTTCTGTTGTACAAGAAACAAAGCATGCTGTCCCGTTCTCCAGTTGCTTCCTATGTGCCTTTTTTCCACAGCTGGACTGAGATTTCCCTGGAACTAGCCATGTCTTTTGTGTATCCCCTTTGTCCTCTCTCATATTGGTTGTGTCTGTTGATAATTACTGCCAATGGCTTAACTGATACACCCTTTTTAACTGATTTCTCCCATTTCCCAGGTGCCTTGAAGAAGAGTCTCACAGCCGATCAGGTCCGGGCTGATTTCATAACTCTTGGTAGGTCATTTCCAAGGTTCCTCAGGGTGACGGGCCTGGCGGCTCTTTATTATGTTAAAGTCTCCTTCTGTTCTCTTACAGGTCTTAGTGAGGAGAAAGCCACTTACTTTTCTGAAAAGGTATAATTCCGCTTAATCAAGGTTAATTAAGTTTGTTTGCTTTTATTTCACGAAAAGAAACAAATGAGAAATGTCGCCTAAGGAAAAACCATCAATCATTCTGTGTCATTTCCCCAGCTTAATGGCTTTCATGCAAATGACATACATACGTACAGTGTTTAAACGGCAGTATTTAGTGCATCTCTGATGTTTTGCCTCTGATTTGACTGACTTTCATTGTCATGCAGTTTTCGTCCCAAACTGGGACTAAATCTTGGAATGAAAGAAAACATTTATAATCGTCTCCTGCCCCTCTTTACTGCCCCTATCTCCCAGATCTGTACATATAGGCTGGGCCCTTGGTTCTGCAGTCTTCCCCTTGTCTGTATAAATACTAAGCATTGCTGTGTTGGGAGCAGAATGAAGAGGGGGCTTTTTCCCCATTGTTATGACTTTGGCTTTTTGGTTTTATTTCAGTGGAAACAGAGTGCTCCCACGCTTGCTCGATGGGCCATAGGACAGACTCTGATGATTAACCAGCTTATAGATATGGAGTGGAAATTTGGAGGTAACTAGTTAGAGCTAGTCCCAGATCATGTGGGGGACATAGGGTGGGGTTGCAGAGGCTTTCAGATAGTTTCCATGGGGAGGACATGTCCTCGGTCCTCACGGACTGTTGTGGCCAGCAGCTGCTTCTCCGTATTGGCGCTGGCATTTGGCAGCTCTTTCTATCCATGGCTCTCAGTAAGTTGACTTCCTGAAGAGCACGTTTTGCTGTCCTCATACTCGTCCCTTACGGCTTCTGCTGGACAGCCTGGAAGATCGAAGTGTTCAGAGTAGGTCGGTTGTCAACCTGTCACTTAACTACTTTTCTCTTTTGTGTCACAGTAACATCTGGGAGCAGTGAACTGGAGAAAGTGGGAAGTATTTTTTTACAAGTAAGTCTCCTGTGAAAATGGGTAGATTTTTGACTTGGTTAAAAATTATTAAATCGACATTGGATTTTTTTAAGTGGCTGTTCACTGGAGTGCCTTGTGTACTTCAGAGCAGTGTTGTCAGTCAAAAACGTGGTCACCAACACACCGACTCTCCGATTAATAGGATCCTGATATTTTTCTTAAAAGCTTGATTGTTCTGTAGTCATGAGATTTGTTAGAAGTTTTTGGTGATCGTGGATCCAGATTGCTCCTGTTTGACTCTCAAGTCAGAAGCTGGATGCTTCGATGTTTTAGTGTAAGAATTTCAAGAATTTCTTTGCCCTGTTGTCATTTTAATTTAAACTTTTATTTCCTTTGTGTTTTTTTTAACCAGTTAAAGTTGGTGGTTCAGAAAGGAAATCAAACTGAAAATTTGTACATAGGTGAGTCTGAATTCCTATCTGAGCCTTTTCACTTTTTCCATGTTCTCCTCAGTCAGGGGGCTCGTGAAGCACCACAGATCATTTCTTCTAGAAAAAAAGTCATACCTGAGCTGTGGAGTAGCCATTCCACTGCCTCTCCTCTCGTAAATAATAAGCCATCAGCAGGTTGGAGACCCCACAGTTGAAGAGCCTCTTTGAAAAAAGGAAAGCGCAGGGAGAAGGGACGGCAAAGATTGAAGAGCAAGCAGCTCTTGCTGCAAAAGTCGTGCTGAACATTCTGAATAATGCCCTTTCATCTCTTTGTGCTGTGGAGTTATGCCATTTTTAAATTCTCTACTTTTGTACGGAGCCGAGAACCTTTCTGTGTTCAAGGCTTTCAGTTCTTTATTATGGTCAATTACCCATCAAGAGCTGCTTAGATGTACTAAGTCGAAAAAGAAAAAAAAAATCTCTGGGTGGAAATTCATTTTCTTGGATGATTCTGTGGAGTTGGAAACATTTACCTGAAGCTGAATTTTCTCTCCCCAGAATTAACCTTGCCTCAGTTCTACAGCTTCCTGCACGAGATGGAGCGAGTCAGAACCAGCATGGAGTGTTTGAGCTGATTTCTGGCCCCTTCCCTGCCCCCTTCTCTTCCATGGGTGGCTGCTCTGAGAGGCACCTCACTCACAGGGCTGTGGGGTGCCGATAAGGGCCCTGCTTGCTTCTTGGGAGCCCAGGTGCAAAGGTTTCTGGAAAACAACAGGATTAAGTACTTAAAGAGCCCTATACGATTACTCTGTGAATTCTTTGTTAAGGGAACCTCCAGCACCTATCTCCTAGGACACTTTTTAGGTATTCAGACAGGCTATTACTGCATCTCAAATTCAGGGGAGGAAGTAAATGGTTACCTCCCCATCAAAGTTCCAGAGTAAACAGATGGTGCCATCACTCAAGATGCACGCTGATCACCCTCCCCTCAAAAAAGCAAGGGCTTATTTATGGCTGACACACGTGGGGAGCCCCCAGCGATTTTGCTACACACTCTGCATTTGTGGTGGTGGTGGTGCATTGCTAATCGGTTTTTAATGGGGCACCTGTGTATAAATACTTGCTTGGTCTGCTCTGAAAAGAACTGAGGCCAACCTCTGTCCTCATTTCCAGTTGTGCCCTGTTGTGTTGTAATGAGGCTATTTTAGCTTGTTTTGGTTCAGGCTGACCTTCTCTGTTGGTTAGATGATGAATAAAAAAAGGTTCTAAAGAAAAGGTCTGAATCCAGTTGTCTCTATGCATGGATGAAAGAGTCATCTGCCTTGCAGAGTGCTAGTGCTCTAATCTTCAACAGTTATTTTCCTGGTTTTGTTGAAGGCCCTGAGTCTTCAGTGAAACTAGCTGTGGTCCAAAGGTGGAATTTGTAAGAGCAGTTCAGGGGAGACTCGGGTTAAAAACATCATAAAAAGTATGAGTGCTTTGTGTTCTGATGACTTTAGGCCCCCACCTAGCATGTGATTTTTCCTCCTCAGGAATTTTTTTTAAATTTTGAATAGATAATACATGCCCATGGTCAAAAGGTACATTGTAAAGTAATTCCTTCGCACCCCCATTCCCCAGTTACCTAGTTCCTTTCCCCAGGTAACCATCATTGTAGTTTAGGTCTTCCAGACATATTTTTGCATTTGCAAATACATAGGCATGGAGTTTGATTTTCTTCCCACACAAGTGGTAGCGTAGTGTACACACAGCATCCTGTGTCTTGCTTTTTTTCTACTTCACTTGGAAGTCATTCCACATCTGAACAGAGAAAGGGAAAAACTAACAAAAACAGAGCAGCCTCATACTTTGTAACAGATGCACCATGTTTCTTCAAATGGATGATTTTTTTTAACTGGTTTCCTACTGGTAGGTGTTTAGGTTGGTTCCATTCTTTTTCTCATATAAATGATGCTGCATCTGAATATTTTTGTATGTATGTCATTTTGCATGTGTGGAAGTATATTTATAAAGTAAATATATGGGTGTGGAATTGCTGGGTCAAAGAATATGTGCATTTATCAGAATATAAAAAGGAATAAAGCAAAAAGATCCTTCTACTTTACCTCCCATTTACTCGGTTTCCCTACTGTCCTCCTCCAACAGATAACCCCTGCTATTTGTTTCTTAAATATCCTTCCGGAGGGTTTTTCCCCCCACATATAAGCAATAGGAATTTAAATTTTTACTCGTTTTGGTGTTTACACAGATTATTATACACTGTATATACTATCCTTAATATATCTTGGAGAACTTTTCACATGAGTACATAAAAGTACATTCTTTCCTGTGGCTGTAGCATATTCACAGAACCATAGAGAGATTGATTGATTTTCAAGGTTGGGCTCACATGATTGTGGAGACTTGATAAATCAAAAATCTGCAGAATTAGGGTGCCTGGGTGGCTCAGTCAGTTAAGTGTCCAACTCTTGATTTCAGCTCAGGTCATGATCTCAGGGTCATGAGATCTAGCACGCTGTGCACTCAGCAGGGAATTGGCTTGAGGATTCTCTCCCTCTCCCTCTCTCTCAGCCCCTCCCCCTGCTCCCACACAGGCATGCATGCTTTTTCTTTCACATCAATAAATAAAATCTTAAAAAAAAAACAACAACAACTGTAGGACAGGGGTGTCTGGCTGGCTCAGTCAAAAGAACATGCAACTCTTGATCTCCAGGTCATGAGTTCAAGCCCCACATTGAGTGTAGAGATTACTAAAAAAATAAACTTAAATTAATAAATAAATAAAATCTGCAGGAAAGGCTGTGAGGCTGGAGACCCAGGGAAGAGTTGGGTCCAAAGGCAGTCCCCTAGAAGAATTTCTTCTTGCTCGGGGAGGTAGGGGAATCAGTCTTTGTTCTATTAAGATCGTCAACTAATTGGATGAGGCCCACCCACATTATGGAGGGAATCTGTTTTATTCTGATATAAAGGTTCACCAATTTAAAATTTTTTTAAAGATTTTATTTATTTATTTAATAGAGACAGCGTGAGAGGGAACACAAGCAGGGGGAGTGGGAGAGGGAGAAGCAGGCTTCTGGCCGAGCAAGGAGCCCGATGCGGGGCTCAATCCCAGGACCCTGGGATCATGACCTGAGCCGAAGGCAGTCGTTTAACCAACTGAGCCACCCAGGCGCCCCTCACCAATTTAAATTTTAAGATTTTATTTGTCAGAGAGAGAGCCAGCACGAGCAGGGGGGAGAGAGGAGGGGCAGAGGGAGAGGGAGAAGCAGGCTCCCCACTGAGCATGGAACCTGATGCCGGACTTGACCCCAGGACCCCAGAATCACGACCTGAGCCGAAGGCAGCCGCTCAACCGACTGAGCCACCCAGGTCTCCCAATCAATTTAATCTTTTTTTTTGTCCCCATCAATTTAAATGTTAATCTCATCCCCCAAAATACCACTTTCACAGAAACATTGAGAATAATGTCTGACCAAATATTTGGACATAGCAGACCAGTCAGTACACAACCTTAACTAACACAGTGCCCAACTGACTTACATAGAGGTTGTTTCAATGTATGCAGGATTACCAAATTAATCTACAAATACCAAAGAAGAGCAAATTGGTGCCTTTGGACAGTGTCCAAATGTGTCTGTGAGGTTTCTGAGGGCCTTGTGCCTACCATGAAGATCTAAGGTAAAAAGAATTCACAATGTCAGAACAGGAAGACACCCAAAATGCAATCTAGTTACATCCACTCCTATTATATATAGGGAAATGGAGTCCTACTAGAGACAAACTGATCTCTGGCCAGAGGTCAGTGCTACCCTGTGAGCCATGGGTATCCTGCTTTAGTTCAGAAGGGATCCTGAGAGACCTGAAATGGATTCAGCCTGGCAAGCCATCCAGTGCTGGTCTCAGGATAATCCATAAGAATTGCACCCAGCTGGCCACTGGACAGAGTCTGACCAAGGAGCTCCTTGCCCTGCCCAATTGAGGTCTCCCTGCCCTGCCTGGATCACAACAGTGGCTTCCTGTTGGTCCCACCCCAGTCTTCAACCTCATAGCTTCTGCAATCTGACCTGTTTCCTGTGTGAGCCTTGTACGGGCAAGTCTCATGTCAGCAGACAGATCCAAACACTCATGACTCTGCATGGTATCCAGGGTAAAGCCCAAACCTCTTAGCACACCCAACCCCCACAGTCTGGCCCTGCTTATACCTTCTATCCCTCCATCTGCTTTGCGTCTTGGCATGTATCCTATACAGGAGTGTCTGGTCCTACCAGACTGCTGACAGCTGCCAAGCCATGAGGCCATCTGCCTCTTCTCCCCTTGGGCCTACAGTGCTTGCCCATGCTTCGAGATATAGCAGCTAGGGCACCTCTGAGGGCCTCCCCTGACATGTCCAGGCCATAATGAGATCTCTGGTCTTCGTTAATACATCTGCTACAGAAGACAGGCGTGTAGGCTCAAGTCAGAATGCTTGGTTCCAGTCCTAGCTCCTCGGCTTTCCAACGGTGTGACCTCAGGCAAGCTCCTGACTTCTCAGAACCTTAGTATCCTCCTTTGTGAAATGGGTATATTCTTTCCTCACAGGGCTATTGGGCAAATCACAATGCCTGCTCAACTAACGGTGAGCTATTCATGATCAAATTATTATCACTATTTGTTTCCAGGATTTTCTTCCGCACCAGCCTGTGAGCCTCCTGATAAGACTTGTTTTTCAGCTCAGTAACCGTATCATCAGTCAGCTACACTCCCCCTCACCCCCACCTGGTCACAGGTCCCATCAGTTGAAATGAGGCTGTGTGTAGATCCTCCATGGCAGAACTGTTAATGAACCTACCTAGCTTTAGAAGAGTAGATTTGGGGAAGTTAGTTTGATTGTTGGTTAGTTTTTTTTTTGTTTTTTTTTTTTTTTTTATTTATTTGACAGAGAGAGACACAGTGAGAGAGGGAACACAAGCAGGGGGAGTGGGAGAGGGAGAAGCAGGCCCTCTGCGGAGCAGGGAGCCCGATGCGGGGCCCGATCCCAGGAGCCTGGGATTATGACCTGAGCCGAAGGCAGACGTCCAACGACTGAGCCACCCAGGCGCCCCGATTGTTGGTTAGTTTTAATAGAGATCGTAGATATAAGGCAGCCAGCCAGGCTGGGCACCCATCTTCCAAGGGCCATCTTCCACCAGCTGCCGAGCTCCTTGCTCCGTGATTCCAAGGATGCTCTTGGAGCGCCTCCTGTGGGCCAGAGCTCCGCTGGTTCCTATGGGAGTGGGGAGATAAGCTGCGTGCACAGGTAACTGACAGTTTTGTCTTTTCAGCACCTCTATTTCCATGCAAGTGGAGAGTATATCCTCACTCCCATTTGCTCTAGTTCAGATTTCATTATGAACTCCAGGAACTCTTCCAGTCACTTTGTTGTATTGGGATCTTGTCACAAATAAAGTCTATTGAAATCAGGGGCATTGATCAGGGCCTGTAGACTGTTAGGTAGGGATTTTGCGGCAATGCTGGGGGATTGGGGGCGCCTGGGTGGCTCAGTCGTTACGTGTCTGCCTTTGGCTCAGGTCATCGAGCCCCGCATCGGGCTCCCTGATCAGTGGGAAGCCTGCTTCTCCCTTCTCCCACTCCCCCTGCTTGTGTCCCCTCTCTCACTGTGTCTCTCTCTGTCAAATAAATAAATACAGTCTTAAAAAAAAAAATGCTGGGGGATTTGAGTAGAGTCTTCCTTACTGTGAGTACTTCATCTTTGCATCGATTCACTCTTGTTCCTATTCTGCTTAGAAATCTGTCCGTTAACCTAGTTTTTGGCTGCAGGTTATTCTTATTTTGTATTTTATTTGCTTTTGGAGCATAGTGTTCGTTAAGATGGCAATGGTCAAGCCAAGAGAAGATCAACCAGAAATACCTGTATTTTTCCCTGGAGGAAAAAGGGCTGTCCTGATGTGGAAAACCTTCACTGTTTGGTTCTGACACAGTTTCTTTTTACTCTGGTGATTTAAAAAAGAAAACAAAAACAAAAACAAGCTGGTGGTGACAAGGAAAATCCCCAAACAGTCCCAAGTGGTCAGCTGCTCCTCATTGGGACCAGCTGCCTCACACGAGCATTTGCTGGAGTGTGTAGAAATGGCCTTCCCAAAAAGCAGATAACCCAACAACAAATATGTTCCTGAGGCATATTTGGTCTTTTCTGGATTGCATTTTTTTTTTGCATTTATTAAGTTTCACAAAGGTATTTCAGAATTTCTGTGAAAAGCATTATAGGTAATGTCTGATGGATGATACCTTGTATTTGG